GAACACGAGTTAATGGCAGAGGGCTGAGCTTCAAGTGTGACCTGGCTGTGAAAGATGCAATTGGTACGAAATTCTCCCTTTATCACACGTAAAGCTGCGAGGTAAGTTTAGGCAAATGAACCAACAGGTACAAACCCATACAAAACGCGGAGACGCAAACATCCTACTGCGTCACCTCTCTCTCTACCAGGTGTGGGCAGGCGTGTTTGCTGTCCCTCTGGACATGTGCTGCCCGTGGGCAGGTGAAGGTCTGCCAGCACACACACTCAGGAAAGCAAATAGGTGAACAAACAATAAATAAATGAGTTTCAGAACTCTTCCTGTAAGAGTGGTTTGACTATGGCCCGGGATCCCACGTGAATGCAGAACCAGCATTCTGAAGGACAAGTACTAGCAGGGGCCACCTGTCTATAGAGGGAAGGCATTTCACAGGACTTGGGTGACAGATGGAGTGTGAAAGCTGACCCCTACCAGGGCTCCCTCCTTTCTCAGTGGAGGTGGTGCGAGGGTGCTGTGTTTGCAACCCTCCAGCACAAGCCCCTCAAAGAAGCCCTCACAGCCAACTCTAGAACAGCTGACAAGTTGTGCATTACCAGCTCCAGGACATGCCAGATCTCCCTCCTTCATCTTATTGGGATGACCGGCCACAGTCTTGTGTACCGAACCCATTTTCCATACCTTTCCCAGGACAAGGCTGCTAAGCAATTTGTTGAGTTTAGTTCAAAAAGAGAAGAAGATATTTGCTTACGGAGCAGAGAGGGCCACTTACCAGTTTTCCTTCACCTGCATTTTGAAAACAAGCTAGCAACAAGCACATCCTCTTCCTCGCAAGTTCTGTCTTCAAAAAAGAGTCCTGATCTGGGGCTACTTCTCACCCAGAGTGAGGCACAAAGCAGCTGGGTCACAGCTTGCTCCCAGAACTTCCCAGTGAGCTCATTAGCTGCAGGTGATGCTATGCTGAACACAGTGATTGCAGGTAGCTCCCTTCTAAGGACCCCAGGTAATACATCCATGCCCCCAGAAGCTCTTTCCTGCTTTCATCTCCCCTATAAACACACCAGGGCATTTCCATCCCTGTGACACATCATTTCTGGAGCGTTTGCTAGGATCTAAGATATACATGGCCATGCATACAAATCATCTGCTCCAAAACAAAGCCTCATGCTTCTGCAGCATGCCTTGTATCACCACCTGAAGTGAGTGAACACGTTTCCCTGCCAGGAACAAATTCACAAGTGAAAACAAACATTCACAGTGCTGGGCAAGAGCTTCATGGTACACAATAGAGAAGAATAAGCCATCTTTTCTGTACCCACACCTTTAGTTGAGTGCACGCACAGAAAACAAAAGAAATATGTAGCTGGGGTGGCTTGTGTTTCTCTCCAGGAAGTGCCAGCGTGTATTTTTTTAACCATCATTGTTGATACAAAAGTGTATTATCAGATCTAGTTCCCACTCAACCACTCCATTCTTCTCGGGGAGGTGAGGACGGCTGTGTTGACTCAGGTGCATACAATTCCAATTTCTGAGACTTTTCTCCCTTTTTTTTACTTTAGTGAAAGCAAAACAAAAAAAAACACAGGCAGTTTTGTCAGTGCAGATGACGAAAGCTCTCCTTCAAAGACAATGAAGTCCAATGTTCCTCTGCCAGTAACGCACCGTCATTGCTTTCCCATTGCCCAAACGTCCCCCTGTCCAACGGTGAGGCCCCGACAGCTGCACTGACCTCACCTCCCCTGGGCTCTGCTCTGACCACACCACCCGTCCTCAGCCGTGCCCCTGCCTCTCTAGTACACCTAAAGGCAAAGAGGAAGGAACAGTTTCCAGCTGGAGCACCAGACCAAGACCAATCTTTGCTCCATAGCACACGTTAACACATTTGAGACCAGACTCTTTTGTAAGGTGGGTATACTTACAGTGTGCAGAAAAAACACCTTTCACTTCCTAATATCTTAACATCACATATCAGTTTCTATTGCCTTGTCTACATAAATTACAATATTTGATTATCACAAGTCTTAGCAAAGGTTGAGATTTCCTCCAGAAACGGTCTCTGGTTTTGGAATTTTAGGTCTTCAAACCAATTTCTTAAATCTGGATCAGCTAGGTTTTCAAAATGGCCCGCAAGGACCAACGCGTACTCCCAAGAGCCCACACTGAGAAATAAGATCTCTTGATGGTGTTTACCTACCAATCCACTGTCATACTAAAATATACTTCTTTCCAATGTAACAGTCCAGCTGCAGAAATAGGTGGAATACTGGATAATGCAAAGTTTAATCTTGAAGTTAAGGCAATTCCAGGGTGATCTCTCCGAAATTAAGCTAGAGTTCCCATTACCTTCCAGGACTTCCCTTTCATTCCCTTTCCTTTCCCCTTCCCTTTCAGTACTTCAAAGACTGTAGCTTCTGCGAGTGCTATAGACTAGTTTATTCTGCAGGGAGGAGTTATGATGTTACAGCTAAGGAAAAGTATTTATAAGCAATATTCAGAAACAGAAATAACACCACAATCAAGAAGAGACATCTTTCCTACATGGAAGCCTAATCTAATCCCTTCATTCCCCTCCTCCCCAGACTTGCTGACCTTCCCCTACACCTTTCCCGTACCGTTATGGAGCATCTTTCCCACTTCTCAGCCCTTTAGCAGCTAAGTGGAAAGGACAGTGTCACTCTCTTCCCGCTTTCCACATGAATATAAAGCTGTTCACACTCTGGAAACAGTTAGAGACTGCAGGAGGGATGAGGCTTTTGTTACAGCCTAGCTATCACTGCCCACTGACTTCAACTTGGCTCTTCTAAATACTAGACTTGTCGTCACTTGCAATTTATATTAGATTCGGATCTATGCAGCCATAAAGAGGAAAAAAAAGGAGGCCTATTTTCAGCTCTGTCATAATTCCTGTAAAACTCTGTTTAGATTGTAAATGAATCACACATTGTATCTCGCTAAATCCGTTAGTGTAACATCAGAAATGTCATGCCCCGTGCAACACTACTGCCTGTAAGTAACCAAGCGCCCTGAACGACCTGGGGGAACCTGTTTGACTTTTTGTCTTCTTGCAGAAGCACTGCAGAGCAAAAGGTGCTTTTTTGGGGGACCCCCGGATGAAGAGCAGGCAGACTCTCTTGGCTTTCTGGGCCCATGCTTGCTCCTCTGCAGCAACAAACCATCCATCCATTACATGGCCCACGTGAGGAGGGTGGCTGCTCCGGTCACCCCACCAGGGAAGGGTGGGGGAAATAACATGGTGAGAAATAACAAATGAGACAGCGTAGAAGAAAAAAGTCAGAAGCTCTTCAAATCCCAGCTAAATATGTACTAAGAAGGCAAATCCCTGTGGTAGACAGCCTTGGTCCAAGGGCCAGAGGTAGGACTGTTACACACCAGAGTGGAGATAGAGAGAGGTTTGCTACAGCTCTCCTGAACAACCTCTGCTGGCTTTTCCTCCATAATCTCTCTCCTTGCCTAAGAGTGAAAAAGAATGCTTAAATGAATGCTTAATGAGACACAATGGCTCATGGGCTTCATCGCATTCTTGCCCTAATGCTCCTGAGCAGTAGCGTAAGGACCTGAATTTTTTTACACATATATCCACAACATGACAGACAATTTGTAAACACTGACAGATCCAACCCATCCCAACAGATGGGTGTGCAGAAAGCCAGCCTCAGAGCTGGAACAGCACTGCAGCAGTCATGTCACCAAGACAGGGCAAGAGCCGCAAGGCTTACCAAAATGAGCAGGTCACCTCCCAGCTCTGCCTGCGCTGGGGCAAGGCTGGTACAAGTCCCCAGGGCTGTGGAGAAACAACATTTACACTGGTTTCACGAAGGCAAGAAGAGGTCAATGACTTCACAGGATTTATTCAAAACAGGAGAAGAAAAAGCTTTCTTTACAGACATCATGAAACACATCAGTACAGAAGAGGACAGGGAAGGTGTTCTCACTGACGTACAGAGATGGCAGAGCTACTAATTCCACTGTACCGCTCCAGGAGCATCCCCTCGAGCAGGGAAAAGCTGCCCCCCTCAATTCTGTCTGTGCTTCAGCACAAAGAGCAGAGCACACTCTCCCTTCCCACCGCTCATGAAGCACAGAAGCTACGCAACTGCTCCTCACCCATCCAGAAAGCACACAGCAACTGAGACACCACCTCGGTTAGCCTGCAAAGAACTGTAACTCATCTGGGCAGCAGCTACCTGGTGTCTCTGTTACCAGAGATGAGACAGCAAGTTATTTGCCAATAATTGCAAAGGTAGACCAGCAGAGAGCTGGAAGGAGGTACCGACTTCCAGTGAGTTCTCCCATTTGTGTCTCGGAGCATCTTCCCCAAAATGTGTTTGAAATAAGGCTTCTTCTGTATCGAGCACAGCGCTCTACTGCAGAAGTTAACGTTGACTAAAATTTACTTTAATTGATTTAAAAAAAAAGTAAAAATATTAAAAAGTCTTGCAAGAATCACTGAATTGTGAATTGCCCCTCTCTTCGTTTGCCAAAATGCCACCTGAATGATTTCAGAAGTCTTCCAATTTGAAAGGAAGTTGGCATGGCTATTTTACAAACTGTTTATAAAATCAAATATTTTGGACTATGTTTAGCTTACCAGTACACAGCTTTGACAGTGTTTCCATAAACCAGTTCTGCTCCAAAGAGCTCCTTGGACTATGGGAACAAGTTTTATATTATTTTCCTTGTTTCCTGTGCTGGTCTATTTTCTCAACAGGCCAGGTTTTTGGCTGTCATAACCCCTTCGAAGCAAATCAACCTATATTCAGCATTTGAGCCTGACCTGTGCAATCCCTGCTTAGAAAGCATCTCCCATACACCGTCATCGGCTGAGATGAAGACAGAGATACCCACCTGCTGCATAAGCCTGGCTCCCCTGGGAGTAAAGTTATTGCAGTGGCTCATGCAGATACCGCGTGGACGTACCGCAATGTATTAACACCGCCTTACTGCTGGGAGAAGTTAGGCAACAAAGTCCTAAGAGCAAGCGTTGCGACACGGAAGAGCTGTCAAAACACACCAGTGCTTAGACCTAACAAATCTGACAACCCTGATTTAAAAAGTGCTCTGACAAATCAAGGAAAAATTCCTAAATACACTAAAAACTGCTCCACTAACAACGCACGTTTCGGAAGCCGGGCAACGTGACTTTCCCGTGAGTATAGATGTCCTCATCTGTGCCCTGGTTTATGTGCTTCACCAAGTTTTTCTCGAACAGGAGGGGGTGGTAAGCTCCCATGGTACAGGCACGGTCGTGAAACTTCTGGTAATAGTGGCAAATGTCCGTCTGCCGTTTGGAAGGGAGAAACTCGTAGACGTGCACCTCATCACAGAGCGTCATCATGATGACGATGCCTAGGGAAGGAAAGAAAGCAGACATCCCCACGTCAAACCAGAGAACCAATCAGACATTGCAGCGAGACAGGCACTCAGCGAGGAGCATCCAGCTCCCAGGGGAAGGGTTTCCCTTCCCACCATTCAGACGAGAAGGGGAGAAAACAAGTCAGGCCAGATGGGGCTGTTTTCTGAAGCCCTCTCTTGCAAAGCCTATGATCAACTTGATCATGGTAGATCATTTGCAGCGACAGCCACACCAAAAGGCCGATTTTTAAGAGCCCTACTGTTCTCTGCAGCCTTTGGGGAAACTCAGGTGCCTGTCAACCATGCGCTACAACTAGCTGACGCAAATGGCTCAATCTCAAACCCACTTCACCTTTTCCCCACCTGCCTCTTGTGAACGCGGAGGATATGAATGCAACTGTGCTTGGAGATGGCTTCGAGCGAGACCAAGCAGCCCCTGCTCCCTGGGCTCTCTTGCAGCAGAGCAGAGCTAGTGCTGCCCTCCTGGGTCTTCCAACTGGCACAGGAACCACCTGAGGACACTCACGCCAGCCCTGACCACAGACCTGTCAAATTTTTGGCCAGCTCAGAAGTAAGCTATAGTTATCAGTTACTTTTCTTTGCCAAAGAAGCGCAAGAAATAGCACAAATACACTAGGGAAATAGAACCAATATGTAATATCACATAAAATTCATGCAGTAGTTGAGACCTGAAACATCAGGGACCATGCGTGATCAGAAGAACAGAATTTACAAGACATTAGAAGAACCCATCTGAGAAAGCACTTGTTAAACTAAGGTATATTTTAAACACATTTTCATCCACCTTTCAAATGACAATTTTCATTCATGCTTAGGCCTTCCAGGAAACCCAGAGCTGCAAACTGGAACTCATCTGTGCCCCCGAGCCTGGCAAGGTGACTTGTTTTACAAAGCAGGTAACTTGGCCCAAAGTTAAGCCACAGGGGACTTTGCTGTCTGACGTGGCTCGGTGCCTACCTTCAAGGCCTTAACTCCAGTTAACAATAATTTTGCTCCTGAAGTCACTGACTATGCTGTTACCCAGTTGTTCTGCACGTATCCCAGCAATGACGTAACAGGTGCTGGGGGAGAGCAAGGTTGTGGAAGACATAGGATTGGCAAAAGGTGTCCCTGTCCATGGCAGGGGGGTTGGAACTAGATGATCTTCAAGGTTCTTTCCAATCCAAACCATTCTATGATTCTATAAGTCTGTTTACAAGGACATAGAAGGGTGCCTGTACCCCAGCAGTGACGGGAGCAGAGGAGGGGCTGAAGCACAGCAGTCAGACATCCACGTGGCAAACAAAACCATACGTCTACGCTGTGACTTCAAATACATGTGAACCTCCTGAGAAGTTCACTCCTTTTTATTCAGCTGATCCTGAGATCTGCTCTCCAATAAGAAGGAAAATCTTTGCAACAGCAGAATGTAAATGAGCCCCTTCACCAAGAGGCTGGATTTAGCATGTGGAAGAACAAGACGTTAGCATGCTGAATAAGAGGGAATATCATTGATCTTTTCAGGGCAACTATCCGTGACCATCCCCAGCCCCCTGGTAATTCTTTGCTATACATATTTTCCCATATATATTTTTTTTCCATATTTATATATAGAAATCATAAACAGGCAAGCACTTAGATTTCATCTACAGTAACCACATTTATTTGCCTGAGATCTGAGGCCGCAGGAGCCGCATCCTTCCTCTCGCACCCCGTGGGAACTGCTCTGGCACTAGAAGCTAGAAATCCTAGAGACCACCTCGATGCTGCAATCTGCTCTCCTGTTTCCATGTGGAACCAGGCCATGTTTGTAACTGCTCTTTCAGAAGGCTGCTGCAAACCGCTTACTTTAACATAAGCAAGCTGCTACTTTACAGACAGGAAGTTAAATTTTGGCATAAGCAAACACTGTAAAAGCAACTCTGATAAGCGCCATAAATCTGTAGTTGTCTTTGAAAAAAAGGCATCCTGGAGAGTTCCTGCCTGCAAACTGAACAAGAAGTTTAGAGGGCAATTGTCTTACCAAGCATTCCTGATGACGGTGGATTAGGCTGAATATACTCAAGGGAATTCTCCTGCAGGACATCCCAGAGCTGCCACTGCATTTTTGGATTTAGGATATAGAAGGGCTGCTCTGGATGTGTACTACGATACAGCTTATAGCTTTCAAAAAAGTTGTAGTCTGGTCTTCTGTACCACTGGAAAACAGAAACAAGAAGTCAGACTCTGATTTCTATTCCCATAATCTGCTGCTGCCAGGGGAAGAGGTCCTACTACATCCACACACACTCACTCTCTGTCCCCCACCCCTCCTCATCTGCCCTTTGGGTCACTGTGGTGACTTGGCTCAGCAAACAGAGCAGGAAAACCCCCAATCTCCTCTCTTTAACAGTGAAGGATCACTAAATGAGAGCAGTCATTGTGCATCATTTCATTCTGTGCCCCCCAATTGCAGATGATGTCGAGAAATCTGCCTTCAATGTTACAGACCCCGACCCCTCTGCATGCTGGAGTACGAAGCATCCTGTTCTGTAGACAAGTGTCTTCAGCACAGCCTCCTAAAAGAGGCTGAGCTGATATGCATCCTAAAACTTCCCTTTTCAGTAAAAACACTTAGGAGGGTTTATGTTTTCTTAAAGTCAATTTGAGATTTTTTTATCCTATGCTAAAAAGATCCCATCCTAGTTTTACTGACTCTTAAACACGCTGCACATACACCCTCACGTCTCCTGGAGGCGTGGGACGAGACACAGGAATAAACATCAGTGAGAAAATAGGAAATGCAGTCCAGAGAAAGGAATGCAAAGACCTCTCAGTTACAGCCAGAGCTTAAAATAAAGGTAAAGAATGGACTATTCACTCCTACCTGCTTTCACCCTGAGCCTCCAAAGCTCATCACTTATCAAATAACGCCCTTTTGTACCCAAAATGAAAAGAGAATGCTAGAGGGACTGCAACACTCACAAGTGAAAGTCCAGCTGACATTTGCCAAGATCTTCAGAGGGTTTCCCAATCTGTTCATAATGCATCAAGTATACCTCATGTCTGACTGGTGCTTGAAACATCCAAGCACCAGCCATCAGCAAATCTTACAGCAACTGTCAGAAAGAGGAGATCATCCTCTGACGAGATGACAACTCCTGCAGCCAGTAGTGGCCTCCTCCCTGCAGCATCAGCCCATGGGAAAGCACAGGTGGTGACCCATTACACCTGGCCTGAGGCCCTTCACAGGGATGGGGAACAGGCAAGTGTTTCTCTAGGAGCACACATGCACACGTGCTCAGAAGTACGTGTGGATGCATCCTCGATAACGAAGAGGCAATCAAGAACAGCCTTAAAATGAGTGGTTGCCCACATCAGGAGGAAACAGGTTAACAGATGCAACTTCAAAGCATATGAATCTGATTTTATTTACAGAAAACTCAGCCTCACCTCATGAATTTCCGCATGATACGGTGCTGGATCCCAGACAATTAAGATTCCAGTGTTATATAGCGCATCCCTCAGGAACTGCTGCTCCTCAACCGTTACAAGCTTGAATAACAAACACAATAATATATAGTATGCTGTTAGAATTAGCAGGCAGCCAGGCAGTAAAACATACCTGAATAGAGCCACAGCCACCCCACATGCCCCACCACATGCAGGCAAGGACACAACCCCCTGGTTGCCCTTCCAACACCCACTCCAGTCCTATCTAGCAGCACAGAATTTAGGGGAGAGTCACAAGAAAACTGCCATTATGCTTCACAAGGTTTTCTCCATCCATATTAAATAACAAAATAAGGACAAGACCCACAATGACCCAGCCTGTATGATGGATACCATCACTACAACTGCCAGAAGCAGGTGGGAACATCACTTGCTGCTATCAGTCGCCAGGACAGTCCAGGAGGAGCCCAGTGCAAACACACCGTTGGCTTTATCAAGAACCTTCATTTGAACAAAAGAAGCCTGGATGCGGTGGTTTCTTCTAAGCAGCAGGAACACAGGCAGCCAGGGCTCAGCGCTGGTCCAGCTTGATGTGAGACCACCGGTGTGAGGGATGAGAGACCACGGTACCCCAGCTGACCCTTGCACTGAGCCCCACCTTGCCTCTCCAGAGCATGGTGATGGGAGGCTTGAATCTTGTGAGAGCAGCAACGAGAAGGAAAGCACTGCAACAGCAAAGCACATGGGCTAGAGATGGTACCAGTGGAGAAAGGTGGCTCCACCAGAGGCTTTCCCGAAGGAACAAGGCCAAGTGGGTTCAAATGCAGAAGTTGCTCTCTACAGCCTGGACACAACCGTCCCAGCTTGTGACACCCAAGGGCAACCCAGGTCTGCAGCAAAAAGCAAAGAGTCAGAATCAAAGGAGACAAGGGCTCATCTCCTGTCCTTTCCACCCAAAAGCACAACTCGTACAGGCACAGCTTGTAAACATCTGCTGAAGAAAAACACCGTTGTAAAAATCAGCTCTCTTTTGTCCTAATTTCCTTCATGGATCTAATTAAGAGTCAACCAACTTCTCCTGGAGCATGGTGGCTGCCCACAGCAGTGGGCTGCCCTCCCGCGTGCCCCACTACCCCAGCACAGGGACACGCTGCCCGGCCCAGATGCCAATTATTCCAGAAGCACACAGGGCTTCCTCGCGCTTGTTCTTAACTCCGCGGGATCAGGCTCTGGCCTCGGCTGCACGTACTGCCTGGTTTCATTTCCTTACAGTAGCTAAAATATCTGGGCCACTTGTTAGCTGGAGAGTGAACTTCTGCCTCCAGTGCACAGGCACCCGCGGCCGAGGCAAGGAGGGCACGCAGCAGGCACCAGCCACCCCTCAGCCACGGACGAGGGGACAGAACACCACCGCGGGACAGGAAACAGGCAAGGAACACGGGCACTTTGCTTTCGTTTCCTTGTTTCTATTTAAAGGCTGGAAATCTTTCAGGAGCTTTTCTGATGTGAAACATGCGGAAGGAGGATTCAAGAGAGGTTGAGCGACAGAGAAAGCAAAGGCCAGCCAAGCACAGCCACGGGAATCGGCAGCGGCACAGGCGCAAAGGGATAAGAAACCGGGTGGGAAGCACCTTTGCAGACACGAGGTGTTCGCTGCTCCCTGTCCTACACTGCAGAGCTGGCTCTGGGCACCACTAGTTATCTATCGGTCACTTAACTTCTCTGCTGGAGGAGTCTGGCTCCCCAGACACCATTAGTGCCTATTTGTTCTGTTTAATAGCAACTGATTCTTTCTAAGCAGTTAAATTCATTTAAACTTATTTGTCTCACCCAATTTTGATCCTAATTTGTTAGCTGATCTATTCATTTCCTCATTAATTTGTTCTTTAGCCAACTGACTGTTTAGCAAGTATCTTGCTAATATAGCCCCTATGATCCTGGTACATTTATTAACTGTATCAAAAGGAGTTCCTTCTCTCCAGCTACTGCAGTCAATGCCCTGGAATCTTAAACACACTCCCTTTTCCCATCACAACCTTCCTCCATTCCACCGATGTGCTATCTTCTTTCTCTTCCTCCCTGCAGACTTGTCAGTGCCAATAACAGCAAGCGCAGCCAAAGCAAAGCACGCTCTCCGTGACAGCCAGAAGCCAGCCAAGGAGAAATGAAAACAAGGGCTGGGAGGAACGAGGTACCCTGGTCCTCGGTGAGCTCTGCAGAAAGGAGCTGTGTCCTACAGAACGACATTGGCGTTCCCTCCACGCACTCGTCAGCCCGCGTGTTTTTGCAAGACATGACTGCTTTTCCCGGGGCAAATTGATGCCCTGCGTAGGGCTGCAGGAAAACACGCCATTGAAGGAAGGAGTACTGATGAACCAGTGAAGGTCTAAGAAAATGAGAAGGGCAGCGTTAAAGAATTTCTGTATTTAGAACAACTACCAAGCTTGTGGACCTATAAGCCTATCCTCAAATCTGAGGATCCAAAATTTATCCCCCTCTTGCCGGATACTAATCTTTCCCTGTGCACAAAGATGTACAAAATCCCTCACTCTACTGTTAAAACCATCCACCTCCAGATATGTGCTAGAGACTGGGCAGCAAATCACAGAAAAATATCTTAAAATAATTATTAAGCAACTTAGGGCCACTGACCACACGTGCCAAAGGGATACTATTCAACATAAGACTAGTTTTGACAGATTAGATTCAGGAGATCCCACTTCCCTCACTTTTGGGAAAGGACTGAGGATCGATCAATAGTAAAAGCCAAAATAAAAGCAGCCAAGCCACAACCCCATCTCTCTTCCCAGCGATCATTTATAACACAAGAAAAGGCAGAACAAGAACAAATTACAGCTTGTCCCGCCAGCGCCTGATGTCTGCGAGAGCTCTCTGCAAGGCAAAGCACAGCTCCTGTAGCAAGCTGGAAACCAAACATGACCATCAAAACCCCACTAACAAGAAAGTTAAAACGATGTTGCCATGACTATAACAGCACTGAACCATTAAAAGTGCAAATAAAAAGACAGAAGAAAAGCAGGCTCCCAATCCAGTGATCCCTGAAGGTAACAGGGACTGCAATTCGAGCTGCTCAGCTCAAACTCCAGAAGAGACTCCTGCACTATTTACATGCAGAGCATCTTTCGCCCTGTCCAGCAGCTGGATCAATGCTGCATTGTGGCATTTAGAGGCTAATTAACTTTAGCCTCTAAAAAAATGCAATCATTTTGCTCCCCCTATAATTGAAGTTTTCTAAGCTGGTATCTCCTTTCCGAGGGGATGGCGGCAGATGAAAAACGTCACCCAAGGCTGAAGGCTGATGTGCACAGAGAACAGGAGCACTATGACAACATGGCTACAAGTACGCTTGGTCCAACTAAGAGCATCCACATGGAGAGTTATTACTGCTGTATTACGGTTGTAAAATCATACAGTTACCCTCCTCCCTGTGCAGATAACCCTCGCAGCACACAGGTCACGTACATGTTTTTGCTGGTAACTGACTTCATATCACAGCAAGCTGGGAGATGAGCACATCGTACAGAGAAAGTTTTCTTAAGTGATAACACCTATCTGGCATCATAAAAATATATACGGAAGGGAAAAGATAAAAAAATGGAGAGGTCAAATGGGGCAGAGGAAGAAGGATGTCAGTGGCCAGATATGTCTGCTAAAACCACATTGGTTCAGAAAGGACAAGCTGTCCCACATCTGATGGGTGGTTTAACGCAGGGGAATCGCGACACAGCCAGCAGCACAACAGAGCATGGCAGCAAGGGGAGGAGGCAAGACCCAAGAGCAGAAAGAGGAAGCAACAGCGTTCGCACAAGAAGCAAGAACATACTTCAAAAGACACACAAAATGAACCCGGGAAACTGGTTACAAGCCATCTCCATGTCTTCCTTTGAAGAGGACAGCTGAGCTCCTGCTGCTGCTTTGAGAAACCCCAAACCCTGTTACCCGGCAGCACCCACGGATCCCTCGTGCAGGAGCAGATGAGAGAACTCCAGGCCTATAAATCTTAGCTTTGGGGTGAGGAAAGGAAACTGCCTTTTCGGTTCTGGAGCACAAAAGCCACTGTTCAGTCCCCTGTCTCTCCCCCGATCACCCCCTTCCAGCCGCCTCCCCCTCGTCCTGGGCGAGGAGGTGCTCGTGCTCCGGGCTGCAACGCTGCAGCAGGTCCTTCGTCCAACAACTCTCGGCCTATTCATTATTTTACTGTCCCACTCCATTCCCTCACCAGCATGCACTGCTGTGATTTCCTCTTCTCTCTGCATGCCTACGCTTGAAAATTTCTCCCCCCGAAACGGGCAAACACAAAGGGTAACAGCTATATGGAAGGAGGGTGCAAACACTCTCCGAGAGGTACCGAGAGCAGCGATACTCTTGTTTTTGGGTCTCACTCTGCTCCTGGATGGGTGGCACACTAGCCCTGTGAACATATTGCTAGACACGGTTCTAACCACTGAGACTCTGCTTCAAAGCCTACTGACGTCCAAGGAAAATGAGCAGAGGGACAGCCTCGTACCTAGAAAGAGCTCCCAAAGAGCCAGGGAAAATTTAACTCAGCAAGCAATGCCTTGCATTAAAGGTACTTTCTGCTATGCTCTGCAACAGGGTCCTGGACCCCACAACTCACCCATCGGAGTCCGTACCCTCTCCTGGCTGCGGGCAGGCTACAGATTTAAAGGTTGGTCCTTTGCCAATTGTCTTCAGCCATTTAATAGCCCTGGTTAATGTGTTATCTACAGAGTCTGCAGCATCGCCGAGCAGAAAAGAAACATTGTTCTTTCAATAAAAGCCAAACAGACTTCCTTCATTCTTCATACCCACCCCTGGGGCAGGCACCACTCATCTCCTGGCACACCTCAGTTTGCTGAGCTCCGTTAGCCAAGCCGCGGTGTCCCTCCAGCATCACGCTCCCAAAGCACAGCAGCAAGCGTGCAGCTGGCCTTCCTGCACTAACAAAGAGCCTTTGAGCTGAGACAAAAGTCAAAACACCTCATCTATGCCGTAAATTGCAAGCAGGCTACTGCAGCTTCGCTAGCATGTGCTGGTTTGGCTGCAGTAACCTCCCATTTACCAACTGTCCCGCATTACAAGGAAAGACATTCCCACCTTACGGCTATCTGCTAGGGACAGGAGAAATCGGATGGAAAACCTTATTCTTCTCAGCTTCGATTTAAAGGTGTCCCAGCAGCAGGTGAACCCAGCAGCCCTGTGGATGTTGTTATTTCAGGCTGCTGCTCAGCTCCCAGGCAGCCCGGGGTGGGCAGGCAGCTCTGCCACACTCAGCCCGTTTGGCACACGTTCGTCAGACCTACCTGGGAGTTCACAAGACGAATCGTTGTCTTTTGCCCCACGTCTTCTTGAAATCCCTTGATAGGAGCCCCGTTGAACCGCAGGACAGCATCGTGGCTGTCTGAAAGCAAACCAGAGTGAAAATCCATGAGCTAACAACTGGTTTTTGAGCGACAGAAGACACGTGTAACAGGTTATTAACTCACATGTCTAATACAATCTGGCTACTCCCTGGCTTTCCATGTAACAACTAAAAGTACCAAGCCAGATTCTGTGGAAGAAGCTGTTAGTCTAACTTCATGATCAATAAACTTTTAAAAATCCACTTTTTTAAGCTACAATACACTGGCAGGCTGAGAGCACAGCCCTAGAATTTTGCCCTCCCTCCCTCTTTCTCTTCTTCCTTCCAAACACTTTACCAAGAGATAGACCAACATACAATTAATTACAATGTGGTTGGCCGCAAACTAAGGAATTAGACACTAATGGCGAACCAGCATCTCTCTTGCAGCCTGGAGGTTGACCAGCCTGAGAAACATGTATAATAACCACAGTGGAAAACAAAGCTGGCTTCAGCCCGCCAGCCTACCTCCCACATTACAGAAATAAAACCACCACTGTGCATGTAACAGGCATGGTTTGTTACGTGCCTCGGGATTCACTGCATTTTCCTCTGCTGGCATCATCTCTTAACATAGCACAGCATTCCTCCAGTACCCTCCTCTGCCTCGGCACAGCCGACCACGCTGCCATACTGACAGAAAGCCAGGCTGCTGCTGCTCAGAGGGCATATGTGCCCGTCACCCTGGCATCCCGGCTTCTCCGTACCTACTGGCTAGATTTGGATAGGAAACATTTACATGACCGGCAGTGTTCAGCTGCAGAAGCAGGACCATCTCCCGTGCCCTCACGCCGAGGCCACGCAGCCACAGCCTCCCGGCCGCTGCGGCGGGGGTCCATGGGGAACTGTCAAGGCCCCAGCCAGGGCAGAGGGGCTCGCCTGGTCCAGAACCGGCTCTTTTCAAGATCATTTTCTTGAAAACAGGGGTGTTCTCACAAGCAATGCAGGAAGATCCATAATCACTGGCAGAAAGGCTAGTTTCTCAGCTACTTTATGCTCATAGGCAATTGGATCCTTTTTAGACCCCTTCCATAGCAACACACAAACCCCAGGAAGGTGATGTTTCTGAAAAAAAAACATGTCCACTCTCAGAAGCAGCTCTGTAGTTACCTCTACAAGCCCTTAACTCCACATCCTACCTCCCATCAGTGGAGTACAGGGTTATAACTTCCCCGTGTAACTTCGGTCAGACACCAGGCGTTATTACGCCCTTAATTCGCCTGTCGGAAGGGTGCTCGGGGAGTGCACAGGCCGGGCAGCCGGCTCTCTGAAGCACTCTGTCTCCAGGTGGTTGTGCTGCACTCAGTATTTCCCATATCGGATTTTTCTCTGGCAATTCCTAACCTCCAATAGCACCAAGAGAAGAGAAGAGTAAGCGAAAGAGCTGCATGTTTATCAGCTTCTGCCCATTCTTCTCCACCAGCTCCCCTTACATTGACTAATCACTCATTTGATATCTTAACATGATTACACAGAACAAATATTTCCTGGTTATGTAAGGAACAATAATTTAGCAATCCATTGCGCTCATCTACACAAATGCTTCACTTTAAGCCCATCAGATGTAGCACCTTTATGGAACCTTCCCCCAACAAAACCACAGCTTGTCCTACGTGGAAAAACAACAGGTCAAAACTGGGAAAAAAACGTACATAAACACACTGAGCACTCCCAAATCCTTTGACATTCACACTGTTCAGCTCAAGCCTGCAAGTGCCCAAAAGTCTGCAGAATCACTGGCAGAGATGACTGCTTGGGCAGAAAGGTTAAAGTTTGCGACCCAGGCGCAAGGAACACAAGCCAGGGACAGCACTAGGGGCTAACAGCATTCGCCCCGGGCACGTCACACAGTGACCTTTCCAGCATCCATCCCTCATGATCTGGAACAAACTGGTGCTTCAGTTTCGGGGACAGGCTTGGAGACCGGCTGTAGGACAATGAAACGGCTTTCCACATCAGATGTCCTTTCAGCCGTGCTGCAGCGGGAGTGCAGCCTGTTGCACTTCTTGGCTGCTCCGACGCTGAATCCAGCACTTGCACGGACTGCATTACAACACAGTGTACACAACATCCTCAGCTCTTGAGAAGGTCTCCTGATGGAGGAATGAGCAGTTTTATCAGTATGGTGGAGTCTAGCAAAGACATCCTTGGGCATAAGCCAGCTGTGCTGGAGAAGAGTGTTCAACAGAATGTCACTTCTACAGAAACCTTTAGCTACCGAACTTCAAGAGGAACCTACATAAGCCAAGATAGGCACTGAAAGAAAAAGAATTGGCTTCTCAAGTCTTGACCCACCTGGCCTCAAACACTTGTAAGAGGTGGAAACAATTACATCAACCGACTCCCACCTGTAATTTTTACCATCTTGGTTAATACCACTACTACCTTTTTCATCACATCTTTAGCAGCATTTTAACACACTCCAGACTGCTCAACTTCATTCTAGTGCCTGCCCACCTACCCTGGGGAGCACACATGAATTTGGGGGCAAACTTTGAGTGACTACGGGAAGGAAACCCTGACTTTCCCATGAGCATCTGGGGACTATGATTCTGAAGGCTTTGCTCAGGTTGTTCATACATAAAGTATTAAAGGACTATCTACTTGTTTCAGAGAATGAAGGCTACTTCCAGCTTAGTGCAGGCCAAAGGGACTTAATCCAGCAGACAACTTACGAACACACTGAAGTCTATTTGTCACTGGAGAGAACATTCATAGGCTTTAAAACTTCTCCTGCAGTGAAACCGCAATTCAGCAAAGTGTGAATCTTAACTGAGCCTCAAACAACAATTACCGAAGAAAGCTGAGAGAACTGCAGGCACAGGAGGAGGGTTTTATGTCAAACAAAATCCTGACCTGAAGGTTGGAGAGCTGGTTTCCCCTGCATGCTGCTTTCTTAAGAGGCACAAAGTGCTTTGGTATCAAAACATGTCACTCCATAATCCACTGTACAAGAGCAATACTTCAGAATTTATTAATTAATGCATTAACCTCAGATAAACATGGTCAGATAAGGCTTTGCAAAGCATCACCAAACCTTGTCTAAAGAAGAGATAAAATAAAGCCCTCTGAAGTTTTTTCACAGTCTCCTGGGCCACTCAAACTCAGCCACTGCTTTACGGTTCAGAATGAAGCAGTGCCACTTTTGCTAAGCCATGAGCACGAATTACAGCGTCGCTGAGGTCTGAAGATGGTCTACGTCCAGCCTCTCTGCTCAACACTGGGTCAACTACAGCAGACTGCTCGGGGCTGTGTCCAGTGGGGTTTTCTTCCTTTAGTGTTTTCTTTTACTTCTTCTCTGAAGAAGTCTTTCTGAATGAAAGTTTCTGACCATTGACTGTGCAAGGAGTGCATTGACATTACTCGACCTGTTCCAAGCCCTCTCAAGAAACAAATACTTGAGGAACCAAGACCTCTCCCCCTTGTATCCAGTATTAGTTCTATTCTCTGACGATGCCAACAAGATCACGAAAACTGGAAGGACTAGCTGGAACACAACTACCTGCACATATGTCATAGCCTCTGAGCTCAACCCAACCCTTCCACTCCCTTGGGGCTTGTCCATTTTGGTCTGCCCAAGGTCTAACGCTCACAGCCACTGTGCTCTAGGGCACCATAAGGCAGAGAGGAAGGAAGCCTCTGATCAATATTACTGCCATCTCCTCCTAGGCTGTAATGTTCGCTAACTTTAGAACTTTAAGGATAATATTTCAACTTAGCGTAAACACCTTTGTGACCACAGCAGAGACTTATTGGTAAGAGGGTGACAGTAGGTTACTTCTGTTCAGCATAAGTTATAAAACAATGTTATTTGAATTTATGTGAATAGTAAGATACCAACCTATCTCTTGTCCCAAACGAGATGATTTCAGAGACCCTGCTGAGGACACAACAGCACAGCGATCCAGACGGCCAACTGTTTCATTGAGGCTTTTCCCTGGTAGGTACTGCTGCCATTCAGAGGTATCAAAAGGACCATCTGACCCCTGTATCATGGTCACGTTCACCCTGTCCCGCAGCTGGCAGAGCAGCTTCTCTGGGCTGAGTTTAGCAGCGTTCCTCTTTCCGGTGTAAGCTACGTTGTACTTGTTCATGGACAGGTAGTTTTTTCTGACCTTCTGTAGCCTGGGTATGAGATTTCTGGATGAACTGTCCTCATCCCATACCTTCAGAGAGTCTGCTGCTTTCTTGGACTTTTCAGCTGTTCCAGAGGTGCTGTCTTTTACTCTGTTGTTGTTACTAAACCAAGTTTTGGGTATCTGACCCAATTCACCGGCTGCTTCATGGAAAAGGCTCTGCGATTTAAGCGGGTTCCATTTTTCCAAAGTCCTATGAACCTGCAAATCATCACTCGCGGTCTTGAAAGGAACATAGTAGCTTCTTCTCGTCTCTCTCCACAGGCAAACTGTCAGAGCTACCAGTATCACCACAAGAACACACACGAATTTTTTCAACACATTGATGTGAACCATAGTGTACGGCGCATCCAAACGGGACACTGAACATCGGGAAGGCACCTGGTCCTGGGAGAGAGGAACACATGTCAGTCAGGGCTGCACGCACAGGCACGCATATATAGAAACATCAGTGTGTGGGCAATGGTGGGGGAGAGGGAGAACAGAGCGGCATTTTTAACATTTCAGGTCGTTTAAAGATCTCATTTCAAAGTCCACCACCTCAAACATCAAACGGATAGACTTGACTGGCTATTAGCCATCACATGCTACGTAACGGCGATCTGAGGCCACTGCCGCTCAAACCATTTCTCTGTTCCCTTCCCCAAGTGACAATCAAGTTTAACACAGCCCCAGAATCATACCAGCAGCAGGTTAAGTCTCCGCTTTGCTTTCCTTCACCTCTCATCTCAGCCCATCAATATCCAAATCCCACCACTAGCATTTCCAGAGCTGAGCATCTACTTGACCATAGGCATGAACACTAATGAAGCACATAATGAGGCATATAACAGTGTGTGTGGGGGGGGGAAGCTGTGAGTTCATGAACACCTGGAGCTTCACCAGTCTGGTACTGACACACTTGGTGACTTCACAGGGAACTTGTGCAAGTCTGCAGTGGGATGAGTGCGTTCCCAACATGAAACCTCACTAAACAGCTGCTGGGAGCCAATTAATCTACAGCAGGTTTGAGGCAAGTTTGGGTTCACAAACGCTCTTTGATAAACATTACTCAAGGTACGTTACCCTGTAGAAAGTAAAGCCAGACCCTGTTGCACAGCACTGACTGTCCTCTTTTGCACTACCTCGCATTAGCGGACATCTCCAGCTCCCATCGTTATACACGGGGGCAGTTCAATAGCAGGAGTGCCCAAAGGGCAGCTCAACCTCGGCAGCACAAGGGGTTGGTGTAGGAAATATATGCTGAGGCATAAACGCCTTGTGAGACCACAGAAGAGAGGAGGGCAGCTGCTCATTTCCCTTTGCGGCTGCTCTGAGATACATCCAAAAACATGGGAGCAGTACAGAGGCAGGAGGTGTCCAGCACTCCTCACGAGATAAACACACACAGACCACTGCCCATCCTAGAGAGATCCTGTAGTGACAACTCCCTCCTTGAGCAACTTGCTGAAAGTAAGAGGTGCTAAGTTGTGGTACGGAGAAGTTACTGCACTACCAACGCACTACCTGTGGGTAAAGCAGCAGCTCTCCAACTCAAGTCATTTTTGGCTGTTGGCAGATTTTCTTCCGAGGGTTGAAGCAGGTTATCCCAAAACACAACGTGTCTATGACACACTGAAGAGTTGAAGAAACACCTGCAAAAAAAAGAGGGAAAAAATCTATTACGGAAGAACCTTGTGGTTCTGGGAATGAGCAGTATTTCCTCAGATAAGCCCTGTGGTCCCACAAAAGCTGTTACACCCAGGCATGGAAGGGCCACCAGCAAACACGTGAACACCACATAAGCCTTTTAAACACTTAAATGCCCACTCAGAATGGGCATCTTCCTTCTCAGTCTGAAATCTACTCTCAACTAAAGCAGGAATCGGTTTGTGGGCTGCTTGCTCCCATCAGACTGACAGCCTTCTCTGTAGAGAAGGCTCTGAGCAGTGGATATGTCCATGATAGAGTGAAGGAAAAATCCCAACGCTGTTTAACACAACAAACAGGAGAAAGGAAAGAAAAAGCTAACTTTTCCTAGGGAAGTATCTTACTGCCTGTTCTTGGGCAATTCACACACTCTTCCTCAAATGCCATGGCAGAGAAGACTCCTGTTTTTTTTGAGCAAATGAGTCATATGAAAAGTTGCTTTATAACACATATCTTAATCCACAGGCCTTCACAAACCAGACGAATGTATTTTTGACTTTACAGCATCATTCTACCAAGGAAACGCAGCAAGAGAAAGAGAGATTTCACAGTATTATACAATTCAAGAAGTAGCTTGCTTTTGCAGGAACTCTGAGTCATTACAACACCACATAAGCTAAATTACAAATGCTACCCCTCACAGCATTAAGTACTAAATTATTAAAGCAGTCTAATGCTGACTACTTTTCTTTTAACTCTATTAAAGAACTCAACTTCATTTCTTACAGAGCATCCCACAATTAAAAAGCAAACATCATTTTACCTCCAGATCTTAAACAACAGCAACGAAAAGACTCAAGAAGCACAAGTGATTCTAGCTTTTACTAAAATAATTTCCCTGGCCTTGACAGACCATCTCACTTTTCATCTGCTTGAGAAGCAAGTGCTAGCGGCACGCTGAAGTCTTCTTTGCCGGTATGGTTCCAGATGCGGTCCGCGGAACCGAGGGGTGTCAGGAGGGGATGCAGGACATCGCTGTGCTCTCTTCTGCGAGGAGCTAACACAAGGTCCTCCATGCCATTTACAGCTCCTCTTCCGCTGAGGTCTCTGCAAGCCACTCTCACCCTGCCTCTGCCCCGTCCCCCCGCTAGCCGGAGGTCCCGGGGCCAGCCCACTCCATGACTGCCCGCTGTCCTTGGAACAGAGCGAGCCACGTGAAGGCACGAGACTGCAAAAGCCATTTGCTAAAGGGGAAAGCACCACCGAGTCAGCCTCCGTGCTGTCAGAGGCTCTGCAGCTTGGACAGCAAGGCTTTCCAAAACCAGAGAGACAAACTCTGCAATAGAGTTGCCCAGTGTCAGCTGAGGACAAAACTCTGAGACGCCTCCCTCTGACCATGCTTCGTGCAGCCCCCAACCTCACTCTTTTCACACTGTACTTCTTCAAGCGAGATGAGGGTCTGGCTTCCAGAAAACTCAACCAAGATCTTCTGTGCCTGCAGGACAGCAAGACAGAGCTTCCACACCGCAGGAGGTGCCGCAGCTGCCCCGCTGCCTGGCACAGCAGAGCTCTTCGCTCCGGACCCTGGAGGGCTCCGTCGTGCTTCTGACTTCAGAAGCCTCTCCTGAGGGGTTTCCTGGTGTAGGTGACAGCAGGCGCATCTCAGTGCCGTCAGCTTTTGTTTCCCACAGCTAGGATAATCTTAGAGGAGTGGCAGGTTCATCACGGTGGAACCAGTGGAGGATGCCAAACAAGTTACAACACCTCCTCTCCTCCCGGCCACACAACGGCACCTGGAAAAATCACCTTCAGCACAACGTGATCCCTGCCTTTGATGACTGTGCACGCTGCTGCAACGTGAACAGTTATTTTGCTTCGATTTGTAAGTTGGCAAAGTAGGTTCTGCAAGCAGGTACATTTTAGCAGAGCCACAACATTTCAAGGTGTCTTTTGTTCACCATGGATTCACTGCAGTTGAGTTAAATTATTACTGCTATTTCACAAGATGTGATTTTATTTTATTTGCACAAGTAACGTCCTAACAAGTTCTCTCAAGCATTCTGCCGCTGAACTTTTTCTGCCAAGCAGGCAGGCAGCTGCTCTTCCAGGCAAGGTAGGAAGCCCACAGTGGTGCTCTCCTTCCACACCTTTAGATAAGCCGCTTGCGTGCGCTCCTGTATCACAGTGGTTAATACAAATCTGCTCTTCTGGAGGTGATGGAAACTTATCGCCTACACAAAGCCCAAGGTGTCAGCAATGAGTACTAAGAAAGAAAGGACAAAAAAAAAATTCCCCAAACCTATAAAAATATGTCAACAAATAGTTGCTGCCTTCTTGAAACGTAGAGCCTGATGTGGCCAAGGGGTGCAGCGCTGGCAGGCAGGGTAAGCCCACGCAGCAAGTCCCTGAGGATAAATGAATCCTGTGCAGAGAATAAGTGAGCAATGCAGTATCTTCAAGGCAGTCAGGGAATTATATCCTGTCCACACACTCTTACACTTAACCTTTACTGTCCAAGTCCATTGGCACTGGACTCAGGACTTCATTAAAGTACAGAAGCACGCAACGGTCCTGCCGCCTCTCGCGTCCCAGACACTGCCGTCCTCCCGGGGAGCTGCAGCCAGCAGTGCCCTGGCAGAGAACACCAGGCAATCCCCATTTCCACAACCCACAGCAGATTTACCCTAAAACTGCTATCAACACTGTCTTCACCTCCTTCAAGAAAATTCTGTCAAGCTCTTACCTGTCTCATATAGTGCCCGACAGCAGACACACAGGGGAACCACCTATGTACGGACAAATGTACGAATGTATTTCTCTTCCAGCACTCAGCTTCCAAAAAGCTGTGTCATCAGCTGTACCGATGCCCATCCTCTGCACATTTGCTTAATTGCTTCTTGAAACCACTTACATTTCCCAAACAGCCCAAGGCAATAAATTCTGCAATCGTGCACCACGCAGAGACAAGCCCTCCTCTCTCCATTTCACACCAGCAAACCCAATCACACCGACAGTAATCCTTCTGCCTTTCTTGGCTGCATGTCCTACACGGGTGCATCGCCTCTCCTAACATCCTCCTTTCCCCACTCCTTGCTTTTCCAGGCTGAATCCCACTTATTCCACTCCTGCCTTGCACAGCAGCTTTTCCGTACCTCTGACTCTCTTGGTCGATTTCCCCAGCACCGTTAGCAGCCTGCGAGCATCCCTCGAGCCCAGCACACCGGGACACCCCGGCTGCACACGCCCCGCCCGTGTGGTCCAGCAGCAACCTAACAACGGGGCTGCTTTGTTCTCCTTCCAAAACTTCTTCCAATTCTATTTCCTTTCCTGACCGGTTCTAAGCCCTGAGCTCTAGGCTGTCAGTCATGACTTCAGGATATTTTGCAAGCAGCACTGACTCACCGAGAGACGTCCCCAGCACAGGGCAGAGGGCAGGAATAAAACATGACTCAAGAGCATTCTCTTACCCCTGCTGGCACAGGCTTCCCTTGCCATGGCGCTGCCCAGCCACTCAGGATCGCCCAATCCCTCTACAGCTGCTCAGCGTTTTTTTTCTGGTCCCAGCAGCCCTCTGAAGACAAAGCCAGCCAAGCCCATAACCCAGTCCTTCCTCCTCTCCTTTGCAGATCCATTATCACGGCTCAATGGCAGAGATCTTGGAGCAAATCCCTCTGGGATTTGTGTGATGTTGTGAAACATGAGCGCTTCATTTCCTACCTGCTAGGCAGTCACTAATCCA